TTTTCTTTTTTTGGAAAGTCAGATAAACAGACTGGAGGAAAGACAGGGAGGAAGATCTTCCATCCAATGATTCACTCCCCAGTTGGCCACAACAGTTGCAGCTGAGCTCATCTGAAGCCAGGATCTTCTTCCAGGTTTCCCATGAGGCTGCAGGATCCCAAGGCTTTGGGCCATCTTTGACTGCTTTCCCAGGCTTCAAACAGGGAGCTGGATGGGAAGTGGAGCCTGCCAGGACATGAACTGATGCCCATCTGGGATGCTGGTGCATGCAAGATGAGGACTTTAGCTGCTAGGCTACTGCACTGGGCCCCATCCTAAATTTTTGGAACCTGGTGTCTGTAGTACATTGTGTGCCCATCTCAGTTAGAGCTGGCTGCATTGAAAGTGCTTGAGAGCCAGATCTGGGTGCTGGTGGGTGTGGGTGACAGTGCAACATTATCTATCAGTGCTGCGTCATTTAATTTTCTTTTTTTTTTTAAACCAGATTCTTATTTTTCAATATAGTACTCATGCTAAGTCTATAGCATGCATGACATATTTGACCTGAATTGAATATCTGGCAGATTTCCTACTGTCTGAATAAACAAGCATGTCATTTTGGGTGCTTGGTTTTTGTTCCTCAACTGAGAGTTGAGGCTTATTTGAGTCCAGAATAAGAAACCATTTGTATCAATAGTTACTGGCAGTGTTTTATCAAAAACACAACATGCACTAATGTTTTTAATGATAGTGTGTCTAGAAACAGAGCTTATTGGTAACGTGGCAGATAAAAGGTGAAAGTATTACTTAACATGTTTTTTTTTTGAAGACTTGGAGTTTTCTTGTAGAATGTCATTGAAATGGTTATACAGTCCTTTATGTGAAAGGCAGCTCCCTGGCTCTCGCTCTTCCGAGAAGGTTGACTGAGAAATCATAACAACAATGTATGTAGATCATGGCTTCCTTGAGAGTTTTAGCCTTGAGATCTTGAATATCATCCAAATTTGCATCTTGTGACCAAATCCCTGATCTGGAACTGAGAAAATGTCTGTGCTTTCCTAGTTTTGTGTTGTCAAATAGCCATGCAATAGTTTTGTCCAGTTTCATTTCTACATGGGTCATCTAAGTATTCTAAAATTAGATTCCCCGTTATACATTTAATGAATTCTCCATATTGCAGATTATGTTTTAAGCGCTCTCAAGATTAAAATCATCCAATCACTTTGCTTTAAAAGTCTTGTGAGTAGGTACAAAGGCTTAAAATCAGGCTCTTCCTACCTCTTTAAGCACATCTTGCCCTCCTTGCTTTCTTTCTCCCTGAGTTTTATTTTCTCTATTAAGCCCAGCTCCTTGCCACCTAAAATGATCCTTGCCTGTAACATCTGGCAGATGTTGGAAATTTCAGCCAAAATCTCTTGTCCTTGGAGAAGATGTGTCTGCACACCAGATGAGACTACACCTCCTTTTGCTAGACTCATCACAGTTATAATTAAATATTTAAATAGGTAAGGAGTTACAGAGTAGCCTGCCATTCTCATTAGTCATCGCTCTATAAACTCCTCTTGGGCAATAGCAGTGTCTACTCTGTTGTTCCTTTGTTTTGAATGCCTAGCTAGTTCTTGATAGACACAACATGATAATATAGGGATTAAGAGCTTGGGTACCAAAATAAAAAATTCTGTAATTCAGACAATAATTACTTCAGGCTGAGTTGCCCAATATTTCTAAAGTTAATAGTTCTAAATTTCACAGATGAGGTGAGAACAGCGTACTTTTAGAAGGCTATCATGAATATTAAATGATATAATTCATGAAAGTGCTTACACTCTTGTTCTCTGGCATTAGTGAGCTTGAATGATTGTGAATGTGAACTTTTATCAAATCATATACTTCCACAGTTTTGCTCCCTTCTCTGTACACCAGAAACATTATAGGGAAAATGTATGTGTGTCTTATTAAAAATGTGATACAGTTGTATTTGATAGTTATAGCTTCTGAGAAAAATTAATAGTGTTTTGGATTATGCTCTGCAGCCTCTCGTAAGAAGCAGCTGCATGACTCAACATGTGAAGTGCTGTTATTTCTGGGACACGAGACATGCGTGGCTGTCAGGATATGCCAGTCTGACATGGCACAGATGCCAAAGAAGTGTCCCCACCCCTGTGGAGACTTTTGCTTTACATCCAGCCAGCTTTTCTTTTCAAGGCTCAGAAATCCTTTAATCCCCTTTATGTCACATACCTGACCCTTTATTTATGCCAAGAAATTCTTAAGAAATAAGTTTTAGCCAAGCCATATTATATATTGTGACAGTATCCAAATTTCTAATCAAAGGCTTCACAACAGTGAGGAAACTCCCAGGTATTAAAGGACTATCTGTTGATCACAGACTGTGCTGGAATGATAGCGAATGCAATCATGAATGAGATAGCCATGGTCTCGGTCATCCTCCAAGGTCATTTGGGGGCCAAGTAATCCCTACACGGATTCTTTCCCTGTCTGACTTTCCATTGCTTCCTTTACAATTTACATTCTCCTCCTGTGGGGAAGGAGCTGAAAGGAAATACCTTTCAACTTTCTGTGATCTCATTCTTTGAGTTTCATAACTACCTTGTGTCTTAATTCATGGGCACTTATGTCCATTAAAATATGTTGTTAATTTTCACTTTTGTATAACTATATTGACACCTCAGCCACTACCTTATTTTTTAAAGATTTATTTATTTTACTTGGAAGTCAGAGTTACAGAGAGACAGAAGGAGAGGGAGATTTTCCATTGGCTTGTTCATGCCCCAAATGTCCATTATGGCCCAAATTGGTCTAGTTTCATGCTGGGGGCCAGGAGATTTTTCCAGGTCTCCCATGTGCGTACAGGGGCCAGAGGCCTTCAGCTGCTCTCTGCTGCTTTCCCAGGCCTTCAGCAGAGAGCAGAATGGGAAGTGGAGCAGCTGGGATTCAAACTGATGCCAACCTAGGATGCCAGTGCCACAGAGCTCTAGTATTCTATGCCACTGCATTGGCCATGACCACTAAATTAAAGCATATAGAAATGATTTGGGCAATTGCTAGAACATAGTTGTTCTAGTTGCTTGCTATGTGACCATGGGTACCATAGTTATTTCTGATACTTAGTTTCTTGAAATATAAGACAGGGATACTAATATATAACTCATAAACTATTGTGAGGACCCAGTGAGATAATATGTGCCTTATAGATAACTTGGCACACAGAAGTAATTCGATAAATACTGATTCCCTTGCCCCATGTACACAGTCAATACCCTTTTTGTTTTTACTATAGCTGATAGCATGGCAGTGGATAAAATATTGCAGATTATTTAACTGATTATCTGAATAAATGGAGAATAATTGATTAGCAAATACTATTATATTGGCAATATTGTACCATGAGAAGCTAAAAGGCATCATGGTTAATCAAGAGTTTTGGCCTCTGTCGTGGAATAGCTTTGGGTTCATACCTCTGCCACTTTAGAAAGTTATTAACTTTGCAGACTTTTACTCTTCTTGCTAATCAAATGGGAGAAGCACAAATTCCATCCACAAGACCGTTGTGAAAAAACAAGATAATGAACAGAAAACACTAAGATAGCGCTTTGTAAGTGCTAACTGCTTAAGAGCATTAAAAAGAGACTATTTTTGTTCACATTAAGATAAAATGTAACCAAGTCTCAGGATATCAAGATTAAGCAGGACTCTAAAACAGCGAAGAGAGAGGCAAAACGCTGAGCAAAACACCTAGCCTCAGTGACTTCTGGGTCCGTGTCAACTGGTCTAACACACGTGATTAGATGTCTGGAAAAATGGGGATGTGGGAAAGATTTGGAGAGATAATGGCGATCGTATTTCCAGCCATGATAAAAGCTAACACTGGCAGAAGTATAAAGCTCATTCAGTCTTAATCATAGTTCACATTAGAACCAAGTAAAATATTACTCAAATTATCAGGAATCATGGAAGGAAGACAAGAAAAGTATACAAAGTAGGAAGATGGGAATCTTCACACTTATCCGATATTATGCACGCCAGCATTTTTAAAGCACTGAGTCACCAAAAAATGAATATGAATCATGTCCACATAAAATTCTATTGTCAGGAGAAAATATCTTTTAGTGATGAAAGCAAAATGAAGATTTTTTTTTGTCTGTTTGAAGACAAGCAACTATATATATATACAGTCACTGATATAACCAATCACTGGCAGATGTGCAAAGCTGGAAATATTTGAGGAAGTTTACTAGGCCAAAGGGAAATAAGTGAAATAAGGAATAAGTTCTATCAAACTCTCAAATATAGAGAGAGCAATTATTATTCTCATTGCAAAATATTGATAATGCTCTTATGTCATTTTACATCTAGTCATAATAATGATAGAATTATAGTTTATATTGCTGTTAACAAACTACTATGAACTTAGCATCTCAAAACAACACACATTTTTTATTGCATCATTGTTTCTATGAGCCAGGAGCTCACAATTTCCACTTAGCCAGGTCTTCTGCTCAGGTTTTCATCAGATTGCAATTAAGGTATAGTGCAGGTTACTTTATCCATGTTAAGCTTTGCTACAAAAATAGCAGGCTTGTAAGTTTATTCCGGTTTGAAGTAGAATTTTTTTTTTCTGTGGCTGTGTGATGGGGTATCCGTTTTTTGTTTGTTTTGTTTGTTATCTGCTGGAAATCACCCTCACATCCTAGAATCCATGAGGAGTTCCTCACAAGACGGGTTTCAAAAATCTTTTTTTTTTTCATTAAGCTTTCAAGTAGAAGCACTTTTCTAGTCTGTGAAAACGGGTTGTATCATGTAGTGCACCTGGAGAGTGACCGCCCATCACCTTTGCCTTACCAAGGCTGTGGCATCTGTCTCCTTTACCAACGCTGTGGGTTAGTCGGAAATCTCAAGTTCTACTGACGCTCAAGGACAGAGGATCACACAAAGGCTTAGACAGTAGAGGGCAAAAAGATCACCTGGGATAATTGTGGTTTTTGTCCCATTTATTATTATCAAAATCCACTTGCTTGGAGAAAAAAATATTGACAATTTTGTGAATATTCCTTCATCAATCTGATTATGTCTTGGTAAATTTCCTGGGGTGCATCCATTCCCAGGTAAAAATCCACATGATTGTAGTATGGTATCATCTTGTAATAGATGAGGTTTGCAATTTTGGGCAGTAAAATCTCAATATCCTTGGGATCAGCCACAATATCCTGCCCGCCACTCCACACTGCTGTTGGAACTTCAATCTTAGTAACGTCATATGAAGGAGGTGTAGGCTAAACACATAAAAAAAGATTTTTCTTTAAGTCCTTAATGATAACTGTGTTACAGAAACAACATGAACTCTCAATGATTAAGCATTTCTATCGCCTGTCAAAAGTGTGCAGTCAGGATATAGTTATTATGATGTAATTATCACAATGTGAAAAACAATTGAAAACACTTTTGTACATGAATACGGATTGAATTTAAAAGACAGCCATTATATTCCTGATCCACTTTGGAGGAAAAGGGACAGATTCCTACAGGAAGAGGCTTATTATTTTATGAAAGATCCTCTTTCAGATAGCATTTTATTTGAAATAAAGTAAAATGTTGGATGGATAAGTGCCCCTTTCTAAACACAGAAATCTGTGCTTAACTAGCGAATGGCATAAGAGCATCCACAGACTTCTTCCAAAGCACTGACACCAATTCATGAAAACAAGTACTTGAAATGTGAAGTTAAAAAGAGCAGAGTATTATAGAGACTGAGTGGCTGCAATGCCAATTATTTCGTCGTAAGGAGTGAATTATTTTTCTATACTACATCTCTCTCAAGCTTTGGAATTAAATATGTATATTGTCTGTTTTTCTACTGGGAAAAAATTATAGAACCAGGAAGAACATGCCTCGTGTTTTCTCCAAAAATTCATATGTTGAAGTCCTTACTTCCAATGTGACTCTATTTGAAGATAAGCATTTAAAGGGATCATTAAAATGAAATCAAGCTCATAAAGGATGGAGTCCTAGCCCAATAGTGTTACACTGTAATAAAAAGAGGAAGTTTCACTTCTCTTTCCAGGAATGTACACCAAGTGAAGGAGTGACCACATATGAAGGAGGCAGTAGTCTGTAAGCCAGAAATGAGCTCCCATGGAACCTGAGTATGCTGAGGCCATGATGTTTTATAATGACAGCTCAAGCAAATTTATACACTGTAGTTTTCCAGGAGAGAAAATTTTGGGTGTTTTCATCTTCATGAGATGATGTATATTTGAGTTGGTAGATGATGTTTACCTTAACTGGAATGTTACATAATGTTTGCATGCACTGAGACATCACATGGTGCCCTATAAATACATACAATTTTATGTCACTTGAAAATATAAAATGAGAGTTGAAAAAATCAACAGATGGAGTTCATTATTCTTGAGAAATGATGTGTAGCAAAAACAGAGCTTGTTTTTCCTTTTTTCAAACTATGAATAAAATGACACTCATCACCACTTTCCCCAACACCCAAATACAAGATAATTAGCATCAAGATTAGGAGCAAGAGAAAACATGCACAAAGGTGTAGCACCTAATTAAACTGTGACCTTGGCCAGGGATGAGTTCGTTGGGGAGCTAGAAAAGTGCTCTGTAAGAGACCCTAAGTGACTGTGCACCTGGAGTACCATTAAAAGAGAGACATTCAAGCTCAGCACATTGGCATAGTCATTCTGGGCCTTACTGTCTTATATTACCGTGATTCTTTGAGACTTAGGATTAAATGACAAATGAGAACACGGAGCTTTTGAGAAGGTAGTATAAATGGCAGAGAAGTGAGTCAGTGCATGCCAAGGGAAGCTGGGATCTAGAATGCATGGTGAATGACCTCAAAAGCAAACTGGGAAATGTGGGGCCTGCCTCTCCTGGCTCTATAGTGGTTTTTTTTTTCAGTAGAACATAAAATATAGATATTTAATTGCAAATATTTTAAAGGATGTAGTATAGAAAAATAGGGCAACATAGAGGTAGCCACAAACATCAACAAGTTTTCAGGCATAACATTTATCTAAGGAACTCTTAAAATCAAAGAATCTGTACTCCAGTGATTTACTCAACTAAGGATGAAAGCGGTCATGTAGAAGAATCACAAAATATAAATGAAAATAAAGATTTGGATTCACATGGTTTTCAATAGCTTATGATTAAGACATTTTAAAATTTATTTTTAATTGACAAAATTTATATATGTATATATATATATGCATATATATTTATCTAGAAAGCTTATTTAAACTTACTTTCTTAGTAACACTTACTTATGGTTATGTTGGTAATTATACCTAACTAATGTTGCTATCAATTGTAGTTGTGACTGAGGCAATGCCTTTTAAGCATGAGTTTATTTGGTATTTGAGGTTTTCCTTTTTATCCTTGATAGGCCCCAAGGAAAAGATGCACAAATGAATCTGAATCATCATGTACTCAAGATTGTGGTTGAATCTCTAAGAAGAATGATTAAGCTGATGGCGTGATCTCTCATTCAAGCAGGTGAGTATCACTGGGCAGAGCCATCCTCTAAAAAGCCTTCCCTGGAGCCAGCATTTGGCAGAGTGGTTAAGATACCCTGTCGCTTACCAGGGCGCTGGGTTTCAACTTCCAGCTGTGGCTCCTGACCTTGGTTTCCTACCAATGCAGACATGAGGAACTAGCAGTGGTGGTTCATGTGTCTCAAAATTAATACAGGAAAAAAACCCAACTTTTTTCTAAAGTAGCTATGCAGTATACTCTTGCCAAGAAAAGTAATTCATTAATTACAACAGAAAATAGTACTTTGACACAGGTATGTGTCCACATCTACTTCTTTCACAAATAACTAAGCAGTTTAGAAGAAAAGACAAATTTCTTATCCATCATTAAGCATTCCTGCTTGTAGCTATCATGATGGCACTGAAAATTACCGATTAATATTTTCCAAATTTCCGTATCTCGGTATCATTGATGACTTCCCCTTCAGGTTGAACTCAGTCTGTCAGCTAGAAGCCAAAGTTTTGACTGAATTCTCTTACATACTAGGGGGAAAAAAGTAGCAAAGCACACTTCCCTTTAATACCAAATTGTTGCTCTTTAGGTTTTAATACATACTGTTGGGAGATATCCTGCCACTCCGTTTCCTGGCATATGGCACCTTCTCTTTCTGAAGGTGATGTTTCTGACTGCTCTATCTTTAATGATCTAGTTTTTAAGAAGTTGTAGTAGAGGTGAGGAATGGGCTGTGCAGTTAAGATGCCTCTTGGGACATCTCTTATTGGAATGCCTGGTTTCATGTCCCTCACTCTCAGTTCCAACTTCCTGCTATAGTACACCCTGGCAGCAGCAGGTGTTGGCCCAGATAGCTGTGCGGGAGACCAGGACTGAGTTAGATGGCCCAGTCAAAGCTGTTCCTGCTATTCAGAAAGTGAAATAGAAGGTGGCAGTCAGAATCTCTTTCTCTTCGTCTCTCTCTCGTCAGTCAAATAAATAAATATACTTTTAAGTTGTTAGTACATCGAATCTTGAAGAACTATCAGGAATCAGACCCAGACACATCATGGTGGGATACATGTATCTTGGGTCTAGGCAAAGTATCTTCCTCCATTTTTTCCCTGCCAATTTTTTTTTTTTTTTTGAGAAAAAAATAAGTGTAGTGGAAAAAGAATAGATTTAAAAGCCAGGAACCCCTAGGTGATTTTCTGTTTACATACTAGCCAATTAACTGGCCTGTCAGGCTCTGGAAAAATGGGAGTAATACTTACCTTGCAAAGTCACTTTAAGCATCATAAATAATGATATCGCACATGATAAGAACCCAACAAGTAGCGTGTGACAACAATAGTTACCCAGGGGGATGAATGGGAAGCAGTTGATGCTTAATAAGTTGGTACTATTTTTATTAGTTCATTTACAGGTAAGTTACTATGAAAAATTCCATTTTACCTGCTGGAAATGCAAGTTATTTTGATCAGGATTTCCCCAGTCAAAACCTTGGAACTGACCAGAATTAGCAACCTAAAATAAAATAAAAATAGCAAATACATTAATGTGATATAAGAAAATACTGTCCACCTAAAGATAACAGAAAGCAACTATATAAAGAAGATTGATATTGTGCTATGCTATTTAGGCAAATAAGGATAATTTCAATGAAGAATAATAAATCAAAAATCAAATAGCAGTCATGATAAGAACTTGCTATTAATTTGCAGAATTAGATGAAAAGTACCACCTTTCATTCTCTACCCAGTGAAAATCCTCAGACAGTAAAGTTTCAATGCCACATATAGAAGATTTTTGTGCTTTTTTCTTTCCTCTTTGGAAAATAAAAAACAGTATAATGGGGGTGACATGTTACGCTGCCACCTGCAAAGCTAGCACCGCGTAGGAGGACCTGTTCTTGTCCTGGCTGCACCAGTTCTGATCCAGCTCTATGATAATACACCGGGAGGCAGAGGACAATGTTCCAAGTGTTTGTGCTCCTGTCACCCATGTAAGAGACCTGGATGGAGGTTTAGGCTCCTGACTCTGGCCTGGTTCAGCCCTGGCATTGTGCGCCTTTTGAGAGTGAGCCAGAGAGTAGAAGACTTCTCTCCCTTTCTCTGTAACTCTGCCGTTCAAATAAATGAATAGATAATACATAGAAAATATTCTAAAAGTTTGCATGAGAGAAGTTGAACATCTTTAAAACTGTGCTGATTTGGTTGATATAAGTTATTATGACAATATATTCTATCCTTTAACAGTATTGTGGTTGAAAGGAATTTTCATCCCCTGAGTTCCCCTATTTCCTCCATGTGAGGCCTGCAGAGTCAGGTCAGGCTGCCTGCTGTGTCACAAGGCAGCCAGGGGCTGGGTGTCTGAGATGCACCCAGTCACTGGCGTGGCTTTCTGGTGTTTCGGCTTCAGAGATGAGGAGAGGAGCACTCACACTTCTAGGGTTTTCCTTTCCCGATGCTTGTCAGTCCTGCCTGTTGAGGAGGCAGATCATTTTCCCTCTTTCCTCCAAGCACTTTATTGATTTTTCATAGCCTACCCCCCCATGGATTTATTTTTCCCTTAGTTTGATGTTCACATTTTCTCTACTCATAGATTTAATCCTGGTTTTTTATTTTACAAATATTTTCAAACTGTTAAATCAGTCTTGAGACTAGAATACTGGACTTTGCACCATTTTTTTCCTACCAGTAATGTCAGTACACACAGGAGTGATGATCTCGTGACTGTAGCTGAGGAACTAAACTGCTCTTACAACGTGGGGGAAAACAGTGTGGGGAGAGGGAGATAGAGGAAAGGGGAATCTCTGAGCCTAAGCAACTGTGTCATGAAAAGTAAAGAATTAAAAAATATTTCACTATGATTTATGTTTATGGGCAGCAGTCTGTTTTTAAATTCTGTGTTCTTTGCAACAAGAAGCAGTAGAATGTGCTGGTTAAGAATTTGGTCTCAGGCCCGGCGCGATGGCCTAGTGGCTAAAGTCCTTGCCTTGAACGTGCTGGGATCCCATATGGGTGCTGATTTTAATCCCAGCAGCTCCACTTCCCATCCAGCTCCCTGCTTGTGGCCTGGGAAAGCAGTCGAGCATGGCCCAAAGCCTTGGGACCCTGCACCCGCATGGGAGTCCTGGAGGAAGTTCCTGGCTCCTGGCTTTGGATCGGCATAGCATCCAGCTGTTGTTGTCACTTGGGGAATGAATCATCAGATGGAAGATCTTCCTCTCTCTCTCCTCCTCTCTGTATATCTGACTTGCCAATAAAAATAAAGAAATCTTTAAAAAGAAAAAACAAATTTGGTATCTGTCATCAAAAGAACTTGGTTTGATTCCAGGTTTGGTGGCTGAAGCTTTGATAAAGGATAAGATATTTATGAGATGTGAATAATAACATTCTTTCCTTCAATTGTGAAACTTCAGGAAGGCCATGCATGAAAAACATACAGCACTTACTAATAGGTCTTTGATTCATATTACCACATGTTGGATATCTTATCCAAAATTTTGTGACCATAAGTTTCAGATTTCAAATTTAATAAGATATTAAGTTAAATGCAATCCCTAGAGATCTCAGATGTACTCAATCTTTCTGTACTCTTTCTGTCGTAGATAGACACATACACAGACCCAACATTTCACGTATGCATGTTTTGTTCTCTCTTTAAAGAGATGAAACTAAAACCAGTGGCCCAGAATAAAGGTAGAAGTTTCATAATGGAAGAATAAAAAAATAGATGCAAATGCAGAAAATTGTACCAGTTGAACTTGATTTATTTCTAATCTGTGAATGTTGAGTAAGAAATAAAACAAATAGATTATTAAATAAAACCAAAGATTTTAACTGAGGATAAAACATAACCTCCTAATCAATTTGAATCTTCCCCTAGCATTTAATTTGCTCTTAATAAAACATTCTTGCCACATTTTGAAACATCTCTTACACCAATTACAGCATGAACAGATCTTTCTGGAATAGGCTTATTATTTTATAAAAGGTTGTATCAGAGCTAAGGATTCCACAAGATTAGAAATGTGGGCCTTGCCTTGAAAGGGAACTGTGGAATAATCTAAGGTAGAGAACTTGACATAAGCAGAGAACAGGCTTTTAATTCCAACCTTAAGAACAAGGAGAACAGGATGGGGGAGAGAAATCAAAATGAGTCATGGCCGATTCCAGAACACCAGGGGGCAATGGCAGTTGCCTGCAGAAACCCCTGGGAGTGCTCCTCAGGGTCTTGCAGAGGTAGCAATGTGTCCATCAAGAATAGGAGGCATGTACCTGGGCCCAGTGCAGCATATTCTGAACAGATGTTCCCGCAAGGGTCTGTGAGAAATAAACATCCAAGCGACTCTGCAAAGAAATTGTTTTCTAGTGGTAAGTCATGTTATACCACAAGCAAGCACTGGAAGAAATTTGAATAGATTATTTTTATTCTTTCTTCTTTCTTCTTTTTTTTAGAAAAAGAAGTCACATGTCACACTCTTAGAAGATATAGTAACCAAAGTGCATCTTTTTAACAACTTTCTCCTGCCTCAGCTGTTTCTGTGTCTGAAGCAGTCTTCATCAAGCCCACAGAGGGCCTACCTACTAAAGACGGAAGGTAAGGCGTGCAGAGTACCTTTCCAGAGTTTTGTAGGTCCAGAAGAGCAGGCAGTTGAGATATAAAAACCTCAGTGAGCTATTATTTTCCCTTTGCTATGCCCCCAAAGACTTTCAGAACCAAATCCATCATTTGACACTGAACACAGACTTGAATGTTTCCTTTTGCTTTCTGATTTTAAAATGGGATAAATATTCTATGTAGTTCTTTGAAAGTTTGTAGGATATAATTTACCTGGCATATTTAAATTCAATCTGTATAAACTTACTTGATATATTGATATTTTAAATTCATTTTAATAATATAAGAGTTATTTTTCAACCCATGTGCATCAAAAACTTGAGAGTAGCGTACAGATTTAACTCCCATACACAGCAAGAATCTATATTCATAATTGACAGTAGAATTGATATTTTCATTTTAATTTACTTCTAGTTTATGTAATCTTATTTTTTTTCCTTCCTCTACTTGCTAACTCATATCAGAAAGTTAAGATTGTATCAGTGAAGTGAAAGATTATGCTATTGTATTGATTTGGGAAAAAATAATAAGGGGACAGATAGGAAGGGGAGGGGAACTCCCTATGCTTCCAATCCTATATGGTGAAAACTATTCATTTTATATAATTAAAGATAGGAATGAAAAAATATTGGCAAAAAAGAAATGTGACTACTCCACTTTCTGTCAGAATAAAATATACACTAGATTTCAAAAACTTAGTGTTTGAAAAAGAATGTGAAATATTGAATATTTTACACTGAATATACACTGAAAAAAAAAAGAGCAAGTGAAATATACTAAAAAGTAAAAGAAACAAAAAACAGAACACAAGAAAACTTCTTGTGACTCTAAGTACATAACCTGTTGTGAGCTATGTCAACTCTAAAATCAAGTTCTGAATATGTACATTTCTCCTGAAGTTTCATGAATGTTTTCATATTTCTGAATAGGTAACCCTGTATAGAACAGCAGGATGCTATCCTATTTCACAACCCAGCCCTTACTAGTAAGACAGCAGTGATCGATCTGGGCCTTTGGGAAATGATTAAACTAGATCATTAGATCTGAGTCCCCAGGACTGAGTGCTGGTGGCTGAATGCTGATGGTGATGCTGGAAGGAGACTGAAGAGACCCAGACCTGGACAGCTGTACTCCCAGGCTCTCCTGCGATGCCCCACCCCACCTCCGTGTTCCCCAGCAGAAGGCCATCACCGCATGAGGCACCTGGGTCTCGTACTTCCAGGACCTGGAGGCCCAATAAACCTCTTCCTTGTAGGTGAGCCTGTCTGAGACATTTCATAAGGGTGACAGAAGCCGACTGTCTTTAGCTCCCCAAACGTATTTCTACTCTCACTAGGAAGTAGACAGGGTTGTTTTTTTTTTTTTCTCTTTCCTCCATCTACTCTTCGAGTCAACTAGAAGTAACTAGGGAAATACAGTAGTTCAGTTCAGTTAGAAATGATGTCTGAGAACCCCCACATCGATCCCTCTCCTTATTCTTTGAAGCGACAATGTAGCAGGCACTGCGCAGTCCTCCCTCTGTCTCTTTGGCTTAAGGAATAAGTTTCACAAAGTAGCTACTTCGGAGATACTAGTATGTGGAAAATTGGTTTTAAAAATCCAGGTGCCTAGGATCTGTTTCTGAGCTGTTGCTTCAATGGGTCTCAGAGAGGGCTCAGTTACAGCAACATTAATCACAAAGGCTCAGCTTTAGCTTACGTGAAAAACTTTTCAGTGGTGGCACTTTAACCAACAGAAAGGATTGGTAAGATTTTCCTTTTTGTCAGTAAATCCTTCTTGCCAAACTCTCCCTGTAAAAGTTCGGATTCTTGGCCTTGATTGAAAACTATACCTGCACATACTGATAACAGTTCTAGGAACAACAACAACAACAAAATTGGTTTGACCTGTTTCCGTGCGATCCAGACTGGATTTTCATGACCTTTGACAGCAGAGTTGCTTTCCCAGACCCGACTACTTGTACATACCATGTTTAAGTTTTTTGCATTAAATCCAGCCAAGGCAAATAAGAAGTTGCTGCAAGCGCGATGGAATACCTTCCGGTTGCACACTTTGGTGGCGATGAACTGATCAAACTTGGTTTGAGAGCGGAACATTTTATCACCAAACAAAATCTGCAAAATCAATTTAAAATGCACCACTGAGTTTCACGATGTGGAGGTCAGGAATGGAGAATGAGTCATAACAAACGAGGACTGGGCAGCAGGTTATATGTGCTTCGTGCTGGTGTCCAGTGAAACCACAAAGTTTGCTTAAGTTTGCCAGTGAAGTCCTCTCAGTTAGTTCTTGGTACTTTTGCTCAAGAATTTTTGATTGAAGGTATTTTGGGCACCATTCCCCGCAGGAAGTTATTAAGGCTTTGGAGTAAGACCTGTGTGTAGGATCCTGGATTCTGTCTCTAACAAGTTAGGAAAATGTTCATTTTCTATTGTCTTAAATTTTCTCAAGTATAAAATGGTAACATTGATATCCAGTGAACAGAATTTTTATGCAATTAACAAGTCATTTTTGAAAGACATCTAGTGCCATGCAAGTATTTAAAAAACTGTAACTGTTATTAGAATTAGTGACTGATACAGACTTAATGAGCCATTCCTTTCAGAATCTTCTAATGAACTCCTTCTAGATACAAAAGTCTAACTCAAAGGTATGAATCTCTACCAGTGAGATTTCAGGCAATGTTGTAAGTTGAGTTTGTATTTTAAATTTTAGAAATTGTCAAACTCTGTTCATATAAATCCAAGTTTATTTTTATTGCACAATAGTTTTATAATCTTAAGGCAAAAAAGCTATATAAGAAGTTAAAAATGCATTTTTTAGTTCTTAAAACTTTTGGAAAAATCCACACAAGTATTCCCTGGAATGCTTTAATTGCAACTAAGAAACAATGCTAATTGACTTGTACAAGTTCTTCAATGTTACTGGGAAGCAGGAGCTAGTAGAGTTCTGCTAGGTGTAAGTATTCAGATGGCGAATCTGAAAATGACTGTATTTTACAGTCAAAAGCAAGAGAAGGAAAAAAGGAAGGAACAGAAAGATAAAAGAAGATGAGAGAACCACAGCATGTTCAGCTGTTCAGATAAGATGTTTTGATTCTTTACATCTGCAGAGTCATAAAAAAAAAATGATTCTCATTCTGGCATCTTCATGTGGTCGTAGTTACCAAGACGCTTGACTCAATTACCAGATCTAACTCACTTCTCAAACCTGAACTCTTCCCGTGTGTCTTTCACCATGAGAATTTATTAATAGCAGCAAAGACTCATTATGTGGACTTAACATTTCCTAAAATGTTGATATCTATTTGATGTCCTCAAGTATGACAACCTAAATAGATTATCATATGAATAAATAAATGAGGTAAGAGGTAAACTCTGATTTTAAACACTGAATATTTTTTATTTTCATTTGCCAAACCATTCTCATTCATCCTGTGCCTTTCAGAAAACCTACTTGAAAGGAAACATCCAGTACGTAGAAGTACTGAGCCAGCAAAACATGATGCTTAGATCCACTATCATGTTTTAGTTTTGTATTGATAGTTGCCTTTCCCAAATATGGGGTATAGCATTGTGATAAGTTCTGACTACATCACTCTTGTTCTATAACAATACACAAAACTCACAAAAACTACTGTAAATTTACTCAAGGATGAATCATTTCTCCTCACACAAACTGCAAGAAAAGACAGGGAAATCAGGCCAGCCAGGAGAGAGAATAGCAATCACATTGACCCGCAGCTGTAATTCCCTCTTGGTCCTGGAGGGGGCACGCTTGCTACACAGTATCAAATAAGCTTCCCTATTGGAGTTCTTTAGAAACTTGTCAGAATCAGAAAAGGCACTCTTCTGATGCATGGGCCCATGCCAGGGTGCATGTTTCGGCAAGCAGAATAGGGTTGACTTGACCTCTCAATAGCCTACGTAGAGAGGCACCCAGTGCATGTGTGCCTGGGGATCTGGGACTGAGTTCCTTCTACCTGATTCAACTTATCGTGTCTATGCCCTATATGAGTCAACTTACGAGACATAAAAGAACAGAAAGAAATGGTTTGTTGATGAAAAGAAAGTCTCTCTGGGACATTCTCTAAAATCATACAATGACTCAAAAAGCAATTCAATAAAATCTTAAAAACTAAAATCACATTGAGCATCTTTTCTGACTATACTGTAATAAAACTACAAATCAGTGACAAAAATTTTGGAAAGTTTAAAAACACATGTAAATTTGAAAACTCACTCCTGAAAAACCAATGAATCAATGAAGAAATTAAGAAGAAAAAAATTTTCATTAAAATAATTTAATTAAAATATTTAAAATCTTAATTTTGTGAAAATAAATGATAATTTAAAGATCAATATACCAAAACACATAGGATATCACCAAAGCAAACTAAATGGGAAGTTTGTAACAATTATGCCTACCTCAAAAAAAGCAGGAGGAGCCCAAATAATTTATTGTTGTCCCACAAAGATCTAAAAAAGATGACAACATACTGAAATGAAAAGGAATATACAGAAAGAAAAAAAGACCAGAGAATAAATATGTGAAATAGTGATTAAAGAAATACTTTAAAAATCAATGAACAGGCTTGCTATTTTCTTTAAAAAAAGATAAAATTGACAAACTTAACTAGACTAAAAAAAGAAGAAATCAGAGACAAAAAAGGAGATGTTTAGTTGATATCACACAAATGCAAAAGATTGTTAGAGACTGTTTTGAAAACTGCACACCAAGAAATCTGACAAGTCAGAATAGATAAATTCCTGGGCACACGTGCACACATAACCATGCATCCACATCTCTGTGCCCTGGCCTCTTTCCAAGGCTAAATCATTAGGAAATAGCAAGGCAGAACAATCACAAAATAACCAGTTCGGATCAAAGGAAATCTCAGAAGCAGATTGCTTCATGCTGAATTCTGCAAAACTTAAAGAAAAACTAATAGCAGTTGTCTTCAAATTATTCCAAAAAATAAAAAATAAAGAAGGAATTCTTCCAAATTCATTCTATAGAACCAGTGAAACCAGACGATCAACAATAAGACAATCTACATATATGTAGATATGCAAACCTATGTGAAAAAAATTCTCAGTGAAATGCTAACAAATCAAATCTAACAGCATATTAAGAATATTATCCATACTGATCAATTGAGATTTATTTCAAGGGGACAAGGATATTGCATATATGAAAATTAATGTGATATAGCAGGCTAAAAAAATTCTAAAATAATTTATCATTTCAATAGGTGAAGAAAATATGGGGTATTTTTTAACAATAATAAACACCTTTTCTTGATTAAAATATCAGGTGTAGAAGAAATGTACCTCAAAATAGCAAAAGTCATTTAAAAAATCCATAATTAGCATTATGTTGAATGGTGGAAAATTAGCAGTTTTCTCTCTAAATACTAGGGTAACACAGGGATTCCAATTTCATAAGTTTTATCTAAATACTATTAGAAGTTCTCACCACAAGAAAGAAATGAAATGCAAATTATAAAGAAAGAAAAAATTGTGGTTGCTTGCAGGTAACATAATCTTACACATAGGAAACCCCAAAAAGCTCGACTAAAAATCTATCAGAAAAGAATTTTCCATAAAACTCCACAAGCACAGGAAACACAAAAAATAGACATGTGGAATTACATCAAACTAAAAAGTGTCTGTGAAGAGACAACCTATGGAAAATATTCTTCTCATCTGATAAGTGATTAATATCCAGAATATAGAAGGAACTCAAGTGATTCAATAGCAAAGACACTCATAATCTACTTAAGAAATGAGCAAAAGACATTTCTCAAAATAATATGGTTATGGTTTGGGTGGTGAAGGTCTCTTGGGGTATATATGTTAGAAGCTTGGTCCCAAGATGGTGGGACGCAATGCGGGGTCCTCAGGTCATTAGGGTGCACTCTTGGAAGGGAGCTAAAAGTGAGAAAGTGGTTAAAGAATTCTGAGGTGGACCCAGCCACTCCCTCTGCTTCCTGGTTTGCTATGTAATCCTCCCCTGCATGCACTCCTACCATCTCTATCCATGGGCCTGCAAATCAGTGGGACTGCCTGCCTTTGGATTTGAATCCCCCAAACTCTGCTTTGGGTATTTCATTGTGATAATGAAAAGATGACTACTACAAAGACATATGATTGTCCAAGACATATTGAAAGATCCTCGGTATAAATGGTCACCATGGAAGTGCCAATCAAAACCACAGTGACGTATCGCCTCACTGCAGTTAGAATGATTATTATCAAAAAAGACAAAAGACAGCAGGACTATGAAAGATGTGGAGAAAAGGAAAGCCTTCTCCGCAAATCATTAACATAAAGAAACATTATGAAACATAGTATGGAGGTTCCTCAGGAAACTTTGAATAAAAATACCAAATAACTGAGCAATCTCATGACTGGCTATAGCTAAAAAGTAGGTAAAATTAATAATTCTGTTGAGAGACATCAAAACTCCCATGCTTCTTGCTGAACTATATGTGATAACTGAGTAATCAAAGAATCTAAGTAGTCATCAACAGATACATGGAGTGTGATAGAATATGCTTTCGCCATAAAAATATGAGATCCTGTCACTTACAACAACATGAATAGAATTCAAGGACCTTATGATAAATGAAATCAGTAAGTCAGACACTGAAAGACAAATACTGCTTGACTTCACTCAAATGTTGAATCTAAATCTTCATCTCAGAGAAACTGGGTTTGGAATAGTGAGCCCAAATTCAAATACCATCTCATCTAAAATGTCTGTGATTCCAACAGTTCCAAGTATTTTCATTTTTCTTTGAGTTGATCTAGAAATTTATTTCCTCTATCATTATGACACTGGAATTTCTATTAGGGATTAGCGAGTCATGTGCAATATTTCCTCCACTGGAAATATCATTTTTCTGTTGGAGTTAGAAAGGGAAGTATTTCTAAAATTAAAAAGTTGATCAAGTCATTTCTCTGCTAAATATTCTTCAGTGACTCACCACCATTAACAGAACAATGCATTAACTCCTTGACGTTATCTGTCCTGTATTAATTGTTCCATACACTATTCTTGTTTAAATCTGCTACTACTCTGACATACACTCAAATTTTCAGTTTTATCAACTGTTTGGAATGTCTTTTTATAGAGATAACTATATCCTGATGCCAGGATTTTAGAATAAGTTAACACCTAAGCATCAAGTAGCAAATCATAGTCATAGGATTTAAACACATGAAACCTGACTTCATTTAACAAACTCCACTACAATGTTCCTGAAAAATGAATGGTTCTAAGAGAAATTTAATCTACTAAACTTAACCAACCAATCAAATCAGCTTGGTTTAGTGTCCATTGAGGAATGGTACAAAGAAAAGGCTTCTAGACACAGCTAAAGACAACGGGGCACAATGGCATCCTTGTGAGCTTCTTAAACCCCGCTATTGAGATGGATTCCCCTCAGGAACCCCATGTTGATAGCTGGAACACCTATTATAGTCTCAGATATTTGTAAAACGCCTTTTGTTTCCTGAATTAAAAAGAATAGGAATTTTCGTGCTTAAAATTTAAACTCAAGGAAATCACCTACCTTGGCTACTCTTCTAGGGAGAGTTTTGAATTTCTGCAAAGGATTTTGAGAATATTTCAGTGTGATAACTGGAGCAAGTGCAAAATATATCTTAATCCTTTTAGCCAGTTCTGGATTTGTAGAGAATGCTACAAAAGCTAAAAGGAAAAAGAAATCAATTTATCCATTTATGGCAATTGGACATCGATTATATACATTTTAATTGGAACTAGAGGTATCCACATTGAAAACAAAACAAAAGCAATTTAGAGTTTGTAATGAGAAATTTCCGAATTTCTCAAGGGTGAAATTAGCTAACTCAAGACAAAGTGAGTTTCCTGTCTCTTGGGAGTACAAATTACTTGTACAAAGTGTTGAAAGGAGAGTTCACACACTCATTGTGGAGCATGTCTTCAACTCTAAGGACCTTTGCAGCCTAATAGTCTTTGGCCTGAGACAAGACTGGACTGTCAGCTTACCATTAACCAGTTACATGAAAGTCACTTCCCCTCTAGGAGTTATCTCAGTTTGTAACTACAGGCAACCAAATTCTTAAATGACGATGATTATGATACATGTATACACACATTCGTATCTGTAAGTATGAAATGTAAAGTGTTACTCGGCCCTATCCATCGTCAGAAAGGATTCTCACATTCAGCAATTTGTAAAGCAATAGCATAACATATTTATCACTTCTAACGAAACAATGAATGTAAGATGTGTCATACGGGATAGGCATGGAAGTGCCAAAAATCTAATAAGGATCAAAATACAGAAAACCAACTGGTGGGGAAAAAAATCTGGTATTGTGCAAGCTTCCACCTAAATGGAAAACAGTGAGTGGAACTGCCTCGAGGCATGACAGACATGATCCTGCTCCCATCTTGTTTATGCCTCCCTGGCACCAAACAAATTGCAGTGCATAAACACAGAGTTAAGTAATTGGCTTCTTTATTTTATCTTTCTTTCTGTTCTCCAGATTATGGGATCATCAAGGAAAGAATGAATATCCTGTTTGTCTCTGCTTCTCCAGCAGGTAAGCCAATGTCTTACAAATGTTTGTAGAACAGATCAGTGAGTAATTCTCTCTCAGTCTGATCTATCAACTCTTATATTTGGTGTAAGGAAAAATATTCCTATTGTTATATCCCTATTGCTATTGCTTTATTTACTCTTCAGACACCTGGCAGTGAAAATAGTTTTGCAATTAAAATACACAACGTAGGGACTGCAGAGAAATAATAAATAATGGTCTTCTTCCCACATGGAAGAAGAGTTTATGGTACACGGACTGCATCTTCTCCAAACATACCTATGGTGGTGCCCTGGGAGTGACCCACGTAGTACAGTTGCTCTTGTCCAGTTTTCTCTGTGATAAAATTGATTGTGGCTGGAAGGTCATATTTAGCCATCTCATCAAAACTGCCAAAAACAGCAACAGAGTTGGAAAAGACATCTTACTGTTAGTTCTATGATATCAATATATTCATTGTAGACATTTTGTTAGCTATAGCACTGGAGTTAAATCCTGGCATAGCACATCTACGCACATTTGGAGGATATCAACTTGACTGTAAGAAACAACACTCTTAAAAATTGAATCAGAAAAATAGGATTTGTAAAGCCTGTTGCTCCTAAGGCTGTGCATATTCCATACAGTCCCATAGTAGATTCACCAAACTCACATGAAAACAACAACAAAATTACTTGGAATCTTAATCTGTAAAACAGAATAATAAAGCAAGTCTCAATCTGTCTCCACTAAATCATAGTTTCCAGAGAAGTGTCTGGTAATCTGCATATGTATCATTGGCCTCAGGAGGTTTCAACCTTGTGCATATTTTAGGAAACACTCAGCAGCAGATCATCTTGTCATCTTCATTACTGCAATAACACAAGTGCACTGGGGTGTGGAATTAAGAAATGTCAGGCGGCTTCCAGAAAGAATACAGGAATGAGGTCAAGAAGAGAAAACATCGCTAGTGGCCTTGAAGGATGGATCTTGGCTTCTATGCAAGTGCATGTGTTTGTCCCTGTGACCAAGGAGGTCAACTCCTGAAGCCTCTGGCAGCATCATGCTCCTTTACCCTCTCTGAGATCACGACACACATGTATACAGAGCAAGAGCAGGAAGGAAGCAGAGGTCTGAAAACAGGTCTCAGTGCCCTAGGGAGGGCATTTCTGCTGAGCTGTGAACACCTGGATAGAGGAAGAGAATTTGAAAAGCAAGGGGGAAATCCAGCAGGTTCCTTTTTTTTAAAAATTAAGATTTACTTATTTTTATTGCCAAGTCAGATATTCAGAGAAGAGGCAAGACAGAGAGGAAGATCTTCTGTCTGATGATTCACTCCCCAGTGGCCACAAAGGCCAGAGCTGTGCCAATCCGAAGCCAGGAACCCGGAGCTTCTTCCAGATCTCCCACATGAGTGCAGGGTCCCAAGGCTTTGGGCCGTCCTCGACTGCTTCCCCAGGCCACAAGCAGGGAGCTGGATGGGAAGCGGGGCTGTCGGGATAAGAACCAGTGCCCATATAGGATCCTGGTGTGTACAAGGCGAGGACATTAGCCACTAGGCTACCATGCCAGGCCCATCCCACAGCAGTTTATGCATGTAAATGAGCCAGGTACACATTATATCCATTACCAAGGATCTCCTTACCTGAAAGCCCAGTATTCTGAAGACTTTGGTGACAATTTCAGATGTTTTCTGGACCAAGTATTCCCTCGGCTATTCCCTAACCACACATCATAACCATTATCTGCCAGAAGGAAAGCCAGGCTGTTGTTGGGCAGGTTGGAAATCCAATCAGTGGCTGATGAAATCATGCCATGCTGCAAATACACAGCAGGCCTGGGGTCTGCAAAAGACAGGCAGCAAGAGTTTATATCTAGACGTCCGCAGTATGCATACGAAAATTCTCTTTCCTGATTTCCTTAGTGTTGAAATGAAAATAATTGACAGAATTTGAACCCTGTCAAGTCTGGGATCTGATGCCCTCTGATCTACTTATTTGTTTTGTTTTTAAAGATTTTTTTTTATTGGAAAGTCAGACTTGCAGAGAGTAGGAGAGACAGAGAGAATAATTCTCCATCTGCTGGTTTACTCTGCAAGTGTTTGCAACAGCCAGAGCTGAGCTGATCTGAAGCCAGGAGTTAGGAGCCTCTGTTGGGTCTTCCACGTGGGTGCAGGGACCTAAGGCTTTGGGCTATCCTCAACTACTTTCCCAGGCCACAAGCAGGGGGCTGGATGGGAAGTGGAGCAGCTGGGATTAGAACCAGTGCCTACATGGGATCCCGGCACATGCAAGGTGAGAACTTTAGCCATTAGGCTACTGTGCCAGGCCCTGATCTATTTATTCCAACAAGTTATATATCTACTGTGTGCCATTCGTTTAATTTGTAAAACTATAACTACATATATTTACATTGTTTTATGTAGGTACTAGAGTCAGATTGCTTAAAAATCTATTCTGTTAACACTAATCCTTTTGTACCTTGGTTAACCCATCTGTATATCAAGAATAATAATATGCTTTCATAGGGAAGTTATAAGGATTTCATTGGAATTAGGACTCATAAAAGACTTCCCAACAAAACAAATATTGGCTCAATTATTCTATTAAGGTTTATAATATTAAATTTCTTAAGATTTTTATTAAAAATCTTAGAGGTTTTGTCAAAATAAGAAAAGCAATAATTAAAGTGCATTTTGAAAAATATTTACTGAAAACCAAGAGCAGTGTTATATTCTTCAGGCACTGACGCATTTTATTTCAACTGTTAGAAAGTAAAAATTAAGATTATGAGTAGAATTTTATAGAATAGAAAATTGTTAGCTTGTTATAAAAATCCTACTGTTCATGTAGAATTCAAACATTTTAATGAAGGGATAAAAAAAAATTAAGAAAGTGAGACACTGGTGTTGAAAAAGAAAGAAAAGGGGGGAAAGAATCCAGTTTTCATCTGTTGTATAAGTGATTTGTGACAGTGCTCACTTCGGCAGCACATATACTAAAATTGGAACAATACAGAGAAGATTAGCATGGCCCCTGCGCAAGGAGAACACGCAAATTCGTGAAGCGTTCCGTATTTTTTACTGCAAAAAATATGGAGGTATTCAATATGGGGGGAGGCTTTTTGGAAGGGTTGGGGGAATCCCAGAGGCTATGAAAATGTGTCATAAAATGAAATAAAAAAATAAATAAATAAAGGATTTATGATGCTGGGTTAGCACCTCGGCTTCCTAAGAAATCTGGGAGTGTGCAGGTTAAAGCAGGAGCTGGGAGAGTTGGCATGTTGTGTAAAGCAGGGAACGAGGAGTCATTACTAACTCCGTCACAGTGAGTTTCTGCCAGATAATCGTCTCAGCACAGCACCTCTCTCTTTTTCTGGTCTGAACCCGTGGGCATTTCATTGTGGACGCAGCTTGGCAGGTTCATTTTTTTAAATAAATAAGAGAAAAGTTCAGAGACCTTTTAAAGTTCTAGTGAGTGTTTTCAAAAGAAATGCAATTATTGTAAGAAATGCTGGCTCCAAAAAATTACCATTATTTCTCATTAAAAATTTTTTTTTCTTTCTTAATAATGAACTCTTGAGACATCTTGTTATGTAACACATCAAGGAAAATGAAGCAACTGGGATATGACACATAGAAACTGTCTCTGGTCAATGAATCACTCTTCTATATTTTTAAAATGGGGTGACGAGAGAGAAACACTCCCCCAAATGCCCTCAACATGCCAATGGTGGAACAATCTGAAGTTAGGAGCCTGGGACTCATTCTGGTCCTCTCACATGGCTGGCAGGGATCCAAGTACTTGAGCCATCCTTGCTACTTCCAAGGGTGCATATTAGTAGGAAGCTGAAATTAGAAGCAGAGGTTAGAATCAAAGCCAGCACTACGATATGGGATGCAGGCATCCCAAATGGCTTCTTAATTGCTGTCCCAGTACCTGTTGTGGAGTCATTCCTGTTTCCACAGATGCAGCTTCTATTGTAGGAGCCAGGAGTGACTCTGATACACTGTGAGCAGGGTACTGAGAGGGTCATCCTTACTGGCTTGTGTGGAGCATTGATTGTAAGTGGGTTACATACAGTCAGAAGGTAATCTAATAGTATAAGGTTCTATTTTTCAGACCCGGATTTGAGTACTGTTGAAGCTAAGAGGTGCTTTCGGATTAGACAGAGTCAGGAGGTGAAAGTGATAAGGCTTAGTGATTGGGTACATACGCAAAGTGAGGCAGAAGATGGTCATTCCCAGTTTTGTGGTTTTCAAAACTTGTTTCTGTATTTTGGAGAAGGACCAAGTAAACAATGAATATAAAGATGGTTTTCAGTTTCAAAGAATTATTCTAAATAAGTTAGGAGGTTGGAGTGATATTGATAGAGACACAGGAGACAGTTGAGACCTGAGGCAGCATAGCCAGAGACACAAAGGAGCAAGAATAGACGATTCAAACCTGACTTGTAAGCCTGATGTGCAGAGGGATGATGCCTGGAGCAAAATGGCCCCTGTACTCAAAAACAAAGCTGAGACAGTGAAAACCAGGCCGGAGGTGGTGACAGCTCCAGTTACCTAATTCCCAGCAATGGGAAGGTCACTGATGACTAACTGACATGTTTGCAAAAACTCTGTACACTTTCTTTATAACCCAGGGGATATAAACTCCTAGGTAACGTCTCCTTAATGGTTTTCCCACTATGAGAGCTTTCCTTTCCTTCCATCCTCTACTTGCCCCTCTTTGTTCATGCTCCACGTTCTTGGTGGTTGTGGCACAGGGACCCAAATGACCAGAACTGCAGATTCTGACAGCAGTATTTTCCTCCTTTGATAGAAGGGACTGTGACTTCTTTCAAAGCAAAAGCTGCCATACTGTTACCAAAACATTCAGACATCTCTGTTTTCAGTATTTCTTATTTCATAGCAAAGCAAAAGCCATACCTGGCTTCCGTTGGCATTCTTTTCCATGAGGAATCCTGTAAATTCCAAGGATATAACCATCTTGTGTCACAACATCGTACTTTTCATAAGGATAGCCCCAGTAAGAAATAATCTGACTCTAAAAAGTGGAAAGAGAAAAACATAGACTTTCATGATGTGACCTCTTTACTTTTACACATGGATTACATGTATACTTTAAATTGCAAACTAATGTGAACCCACCTATGTGTCAGAACAGTATACAGTGTAAAAAAAATGATGATTTGTTGAGAATTTCCAGAAGGAGTTGCATGTAAAGGCATGGGCAAATTACGGTGAGTTCACCCAGCATTCTTGTTTGTTTTAAGTGGTTGCTGGTTAGGCCTGTGGGACTGATAATATTAATGCACTCCAATTCTTCTCAGAATGCTTTAATATATGGTCAACTAATGAGAGAAGCTCCAGGAGGTTGCCAGTAATCTATGGCTAGTAACTAATAAGCTGTTATCAAACTTAGACCAGAAGAGAGAAGGGAGGAAACAGTACCAGAAGGAGAAAAACAACAGGTCACCTTAAAAGTGGCAGCTTGTCTAAGCTGACTTCCCAAAGATGGAAACAAGGCAGTGGAAAACTTGACCTCAGTCTCATTTCTATCCAGGTCTAGATCAAGGCTTTCATTTGTTGAAAAAAAACTGAACAAAAGGCCAAAGAAGCTTGGTGACCTAGAACTCACAGGCTGTCCATCTTGACAGAAAAAATATATAAAAGAGCAAAGAGTTGAAGGCACCAAGAGATGATTCCCGACCCACAGTTAAAGAAGGGAGAGGAATCTTGCACTCATTAATCATCTTGTATCTATAGGTTTCAAATGTCTTGTATGACTAATCTTTGCAAGAAGCCTTGGAGACGAAATTGCATTCATTTTACATTTTAGAAAACTGACATTCAGGGAGATGAATAAATAGTCCAAAATTATAGGAAGATTAAGGGCATGCTTAATGCTGAAATAAGTATAACCCCCAAACCTGTGCTCTTATCACAAGACTGAGCATCATACTGTGTCAGACCACAATGCATGTATACGTTATGGAGCTCCTTGTTGCCCAGACCCTGGAGAAGGACTGCAGGGCCCTGCGATCCTGCTCTTCCTCTTACTGTCTGTGTGCCTTGGTGTGCGTTCCCCAGCTTTCCTGTCTTTCTGATACTATTAGGGATAATACTGTAACCTCTGCATGCTTGTTGTTAGGATCCCATGCAAAATTTCATGAGAAGTGTCTGGCTCAAAATAAATGCTTGGGATTTTCATGATTATGCAAAGATGCAAAGCCAAGAAGCACTCAGACTAGAAAGGAAAGGAATGTGTGTGAATCTAAGAGGAAAAGGGAAAGTAGATTCAAGGAAACATGTTCATGGGTTAGGAGTTCATGACTGTGGGAGGAGACCGAGTACATACTGAGAACTGTGGAGAAAGGACCAACAAGACCCGCTAACTGACAGTTGCACTCTGAAATTCTGACATGAGCCCTGATGGGGATGAGTGTATCAACAGTGTAGGAGCCGGAGGTAAAGCTCATAGTGAATGTTTTGTCATTCGGCTTCTGTTTATTTGATTTGGGGGCAGAACTATGCCATCCCTCTCAGGGTATAAATTCCTGGGTGTTAAGACATTTTTGAATATAAGCAACAGAAAGCCACCATAGCTTGAAAATCTAAAAATAAACTTTTATAACTTACATAATGAAGATATTGATCCATAATAACTCAGAAGAACCCAAGGACATTTTCTAGAGATTGAGAGAATTCAGTCATGAACCTGCTGTTCAGGACATCCCCAATAGGTGGTAGCTCGTTCTACCAGGATATGGAATATAACTGTTCCAACTTTGGTTAAATTTGTCAACTCTGGGCCCAGTGCCATGGCCTAGCGGCTAAAGTCCTTGCCTTGAACGTGCTGGGATCCCATATGGGTGCTGGTTCTAATCCCAGCAGCTCCACTTCCCATCCAGCTCTCTGCTTGTGGCCTGAGAAAGCAGTCAAGGACAGCCCAAAGCCTTGGGACCCTGCACCTGCGTGGGAGACTTGGAGGAAATTCCTGGCTCCTGGCTTCGGATTGGTGCAGTACCAGCCATTGTGGTCACTTGGGGAGTAAATCATCGGATGGAAGACCTTCCTCTCTGTCTCTCTTCCTCTCTGTATATCTGACTTTGCAACAAAAATAAATAAATCTTTTAAAAAAAAATTGTCAACTCTTGGATTAGTTAGCTATCCCAAAGAGCAGAGGAAGATGCAAAGATATATAAATTATGGCACTAATTGAAAACTAGATAGAAACACAAATTTTGTCTAAAATTATGACAATTACTAAACCCTTACTGTATTTTACTACTTATTGAGTGACTTACAATATTCATCTTAGCTTCAGGATTTGTGGTGCTGCTTTTCTTACTGCTGCCTACTGGTCCATGAAGAAGTATTATCCAGCATGCTGCGGCTAAAAGCTGCCACATTTGGGGATCTTCCTGAGAAGGGAAATGTTGACAAATCGGGAGTCAGAGATATTCTACTGAGTGAAATCTGGTGCAATATTTTCATAGCACCATTCTGAAAGAGAGAAAAAAGTTTTTTTCTAAGTTGTATTTTAACCAATAATATACCAACTTATAATTACAAAAAGTATGAAATGGTGACTTTTTAGTAAGAAATACAGAGAAGGAAGAAAGGAAAAGAAAGAAGGAAGAAGGGATAAAAATGGGAGGAAAGGAAGGAAAAAAAAGAAGGAAGACCAATTCTTCAGTAGAAAAAAACTAAAAAAAAAAAAAAGAAAATATTGAAACAGATAATTCCTAGAAAAAGAAATATTATTAATAATAAGTTAGTAAAAAAGCATCTAAAATCTCTAGTTATCGAATAAATTGATTCTTTTTTTCTTATTGTGGAAATGAACACTGGTACAATCCTTAAAATAAGAAGTTTGTTAACATATCCCACAAATTCAATACTAATATCTTCATCAAATAATTTTATTTCCAGAAATCAATCTGAAACAAAAGTAATGTATATACAAGCACCATGTATAAAACTATTCTTTGTGATATATCTTTATATAGTGCAATTTCCCTAAATAAGGGATTTGTGAAATGAATCATGAGTACAGAAGAATGGGATATCAGTCATCCCATATTACATTTATGTATGAAGTATGAACATTTTTATTGTGCAATATTAAGTGAAACCAATACACAACAATATGCAATTAATTTGAACTCAGTGATGAGGCAAACTATAAATAGAAAGAACCTAAATAAATTTTAATTTTTTCTTATGTTTGGATGATAAATATTTGCATGATCTTATCCTCTTTTTATAGTAGTTCACATATGGTCTAAATTTTCTATATTTAGTATTACATTATGATAAAAAAACTTTTGAACATGAAATTTTAAATTATGAAAATTACAAGGGAAAATATCTAAGGTTAAAAACAGGCAATCCAATAATTTTGTGAAGAAAATGCAGAAGAAGACATTTATGTAGAGAACTCTCCACTTACTAGTAACAGCCACCACAAAAAGCAGATGGTCAAGTATGTTAGAAAATGCTGTCAGCTCTGTTCTGTAGGGAAAAAAAAAAATTTTTTTTTATATAATAATTTCATTCTTCTGGTATGAAAAGTTCCATAAATTCTCTGGGAGTTTTTCTAAAGTCATAACCTCTATTGATTACATGTATTAATGTATATTATTATTTAATTAACACATACAAAACTAGCTGTTAATATTAGCTTAATTATATATTAAATATCTAGGTATATATTAATATAATATGACATATCAGTTAATTTGTATTCATATAGCTTACTTCTGGTACATAATTTTGACAGTGATAAGAATACCACCCCTGGGCTTGACGCGGTAGCCTAGTGGCTAAAATCATCGCCTTGCATCCACTGGGATCTTATATGGGTACTGGGTTGAATCCCAGCAGTCCTGTTTTTCATCTAGCTCCCTGCTTGTGGCTTGGGAAAGCAGTGGAGGAAGCCCTAAAGCCTTGGGACCCTATACCCACTTGAGAGACCCAGGAGAGACTCCTGGCTCCTGGCTTTAAATTGCCTCAGTTCTGGCCGTTGCAGCCACTTGGCGAGTGAGTTAGCAGTGGATGGAGGATCTTCCTTTTTGTCTCTCCTCCTTTCTGTATATCTTACTTTCCAATAAAAATAAAGTGTAAAAAAAAATACCACCAGCAACAGCAATAATTGTTATGTACATTGTGATTATGCATTGAACACGGATTATGTTTCAAAAAATATGTCAGCCATACATTTTCTCATTTTATTCTCAAAATAATTTCAAGGAATAATAAGGGTCATCTGGGTGTACTTAAAATAAGACTAGATCTTACAGATGCCAAAAAGATAGTCAAGTTACTTGAGCACAAAGGAATTGTTTGTACGCTTTTTTCTCTTAACCACTCAGTCCTCTTGGAATAGATTTACTGGATCCCTCTGGCTGTCATGTGCCTGATTACTATATATTCAAAAATATATCATAGACCATAGGCATTATAATCATCATTAAAAGCAATGAGGACTTCTTTTTATAAAACATAACTGTTTATTTGAAAGAGAGGGAGAGAATTGGGGACAGAATTAGGGAGGGGTGAGGGAGGGAGCAGGAGAGGGCAGGGGAATGGGAGGGAAGGGGAGGTGGGGAGAGAGAAAGAGAAGGAAACAGAGAAATTTTCTATCAGTGGTTCATTACTCAGATGCTCCCTATGGGCTGGTTGGGGTCAGGCCAGAGCTGGAAATTGGAAACTTTATATATAGCTCCAACACAAGTGGTAAGAACACAGCTGCTTGATCCATGACTGCTACCTTCCAGAATCTACTTTACCAGAAAGGTGAAGTCAGGAGGCAGAACCAGGAATCAAGCCCACATGGGATAAATTCCTGCCTCTGACAGTAAGCTGCAGTATATTTTGAACCTTGATTACATCCTTAATCTGTGATTCTGTCTTAGGAGGAGGTAGGAAGATTTTATAGACTAGACCTTTTACCTCAATTAATATGAACTGAGATCCACTGGTTTCAGCCACTAACAGGTGAACCTGCAATCCAAGGCAAGAGAAAATCCAGTGCTTTTCTAAAATGGCCAAGCCAGGCAGCCTGTGGCATTTGTAATGGCTCTGGGGACCAGGTAAAGTTGCCAGTATGTATTCTGCTTGTAGAACTGGAGTCTAGCCCCTGGCACAGGGGCGCACTGGTTATTAAAGTCTGTCTTCTGCAGCATGGCAGAGAGCCCATCAGCTGCTTTTGCCCCATTCCCTGACTGGTTCTAGATATGGAAGGGTGACACACCCATAGAGACATGTCCTTATGTGTTCCATTTTGCCTGGAGTGACAGGCTGAATCCAAACAGGCTTTCTGTAGTTTGCTGTTATTAAGCATGTATTATCTGTTTTGTCCTATCTAAACCTCATGGTATTAACCATAATTGTTGAGTAGGTTTGCTTGAATCAGGTTCTTGTCTTTAATGACACTCTAAGAGTCCTTTTCTTTTTTCTGTTTCTATGACAGCTGTCTGGAGACTACTGCCCTCTCATGGGTACCATATTGACATCTTTATGGTTCACACTAATGTCTATAAAAATATTAAACCAAGAAAAGAGCAGACATTATAGTTGTTGGGAAAATCATAGTATTTTAAAATGAGATCCATAGTCACAAGTATCCATATTAAAGCAATATAGATTATATTTATTATATATTTATATAGAGAGAATGTAATGATTTATGGCTGCTTGCATTGTGGCATAATGGGTGAGACTGCTAGACTCTTTGCTGATAGCCTAGGAAAAGTAGTGGAAGATGGTCCAAATGTTGTATTGATATATCACTCTAAACCAGCATTTCACTCTGCTATACTGCAAGCCAGTGTCCCTGAAGATCTCTCTAAAAAGAACTTTGAGGTAAGCATGCTGAACCAAATGTGTGTGTGTGTGTGTTGCATATATGACTTGCTTGGAGAGTTACAGACCATATATATACATATGCTATATGCTAGTCTTAGAATCAAAATACTGTTGAACTTTGTTGAACATAGTTTCATTAGACCTTGGAATTTTATGGCTTGAATAGCACCAATGATATGTATTATGCCCCAAATTTTGTATATATAAAAAACTCAGTGGGGGAAATCTTGCCTTGATATTTCATTTACCTCCTTCCCCCAAAATTCAATATAATGAAAGACAGTCTAAAAAGATGCCAGTCATCTAAAATCAGAAATTCACCCTTTGTGGTCTGTGGTGGAGACAACTGCCACTGTCTTACAGAATGTGTTTACAAAAAAGACAGAATCAGAAATATGACCCCTTGTTAGATTCCTCCTTGTTCAAAAATCTCCTTTCTTCAGTAGTTGGCTTGGTTTTTTTTTCCACATAGATGCTGCAGCTATGGGGAAATATGAACCTTTTGAAAAAAGTTTTGCCTTACTACATTGTTAAATCTCTTACTGGATTTAAATAATTTACATCAAATGCAAGTGAAAATATGCAGGCAGCTCTCATATATAATGACTCTTTCACCAACAAATACACTCATGATAAAATCAAGGATACTAGTTTCTCAACAAAAAATATCGGAAATAATAGAAACTTTTATTCATCTTTTTCATTGTCCCATGATAGGAACTGTCAGGTTCAACAAGTAAATAATCAACTAGAGTGTATGTCATTGTGTGGACAGCATTCTTAATTAAGCTACATCCTCATTCTCAACTTAAATCTGAAATGGAAGTGAAAATTGGACTCATTATGTCAGCATTTAGAGCCCCAAAAGAGTTCTAGTGTGCTTTTGGTTGGAAAGCATACATGCGCACACACACACACACACACACACACACACACACACACACACACACACACACAGGTTTTACATATGGCTCTGTGATTATTCTTGGTTTACTCAATGGTGAAATAAAACCATGGTTCAATCCCTTAATGCTTCATGAAACTTTATGAGGAAAAATTCTAGCTGTGTTTTCCGGAGGCTACGGCGGCCTGTAGACTGGAGCTCTCTGGTTTTCAGCTGGTGATCTCACTGAAGTCGCACACTTTAGACACTTAATAATATTGCCTATCACTGTTGTCATTATTCCTGTAATTGTGTGACTTTTGACACTGGGTTTAATTTCCTCAAAGTTAATTTCACTACCCATTTCATGGGGGGGGCATAATAATAGTTACCTGCAAGACTAGTTCAAGATGATAGAAGATGCTGTGATATACCAGAAATAAATCAACTCTGCAGGACATATAGCAATGCTTGGCTCTGCTTACTGGTAGCTATTGTCATGCACCTTCTGTTGTAGAGGAATCCCTTCATAAACCTCATTTATAAACTTCTTAAAGCTGATATCCATATTTTGGTTTTTTTTGCCTGACATTTATAGCTTATCTGTGTTCCCTTTCCATTTTGGATATGGCACAATTACTTCAATTGAGTTGGGAAAAATGATACCATTGTTTCTTATCATTTAAACATAGTTGAGAATTTTCTTTTCTACTTATAATAATAATTTTCACTTTTGACTATACAGAGTAGCCCTCTTAATTTCTAATTTTTATATCAATAATATGCTTCATCATTATAATGATTATTTTCACATGGGAAGAAATGTCAGGTTAGAATTTAAACAAAAGCTATTTTACTCAGTATTCTTTTCATTGAAGCTTATTGCCTCTTGTGAAATTATTCCAAATATATTAATCGATGTTAGAACATTACTCAAAGTGTTGGTAGACTTTACAAAGTTTGGGCATAATATAACTCTTTGAAATACTAGAGTAGAAATTTCTCCTTAACATAATTGAGTACAGCATTTAAAGTGGAATGGGGCCCCCAACACAAGAATGTATCCAGCGCATGTAGGTATCCTGTCAATCAAATGAAAGAAATTCGGGCTAAATCTTGTGTGAACATACACATGAAATCTAAACATCATGCTTGACTTTTCACAGTTTACTAAGATATAAAAATTTCTATAAAAATGTTATGTATCTGTGAAAGGAACAAGGATAATATTAGTATAAGTAACCATATTCTCTCTCTTAACATTGACAGTGTGCTCTTCTGTTCTATCTTTTCTTTATTAATGAGCTCGGAAGGATAAAGATAAGAAATCTATGAGGAGAGAGAATGTGAGAAGAAGAAAGCAATTTCATGATAGATAATTATTTGAACAAAAGTATGAAAGATTCAAATTTATAATGACTCACTGTTACTTATATGATGATAAACAAACCACAAGTTCAGAGTCTCCTCCCCGTGAGGAAGGAAAAGACAGAAAGCAAGAAAAGTTGAAAAGGGAAAGAAAAGAAGGAAGGAAAGATGGAGGGAGAGAGGGTTGGAAGGTAAGAAAGGATCAGACATTGAATAATACAGATTTGGAAACCTAGCTACCATTTCTTTCCTGGTTTGATAGGCTGTGTTTGGACAATTTCCCCACGTTTAGCTGTTGGTAAGCAATGCTCCTACTGGATACAAAAGGCACTTAAGCCATGTTTCTTACTGAGGAATTAGCAGAAAAGTTTATGGCGTTTGTACATTCAGCTTATATTTATTCAGCAAAGCAAATAATACATCAGTGTTTTCCCAACTGTGCACAGATGTGGAATTAGAAGTTACTGGGGGTGAGTAAATGCCGAAGACAGAGGGCATATAATTTGGATCTTTATTTTCCTTTGTGTGATAAAACATGGGGCCCAAACTACATGTCTCTAACAGTTTACTTCATAAAGTGCTTTCTGGGATCCAAAGAGCTAACATTAAATTATATTTAAATAATGAAGGATTGTAAACTTCAAGAATAAAAAGTAGCCTGCATCTTCTTTATAGAAAGAGCTGAGAGCAGGAAGTGAATGTCACTTGCTATGTGCCTGAGCTCACTGAAACGCAGTGAAAAACCAAGACTCTTTGTGCCCCTTCAGTGAACATACGTGGGCAGGGGCAGAGAGACATTCTTAACAAAGTTGGTGTTTACAACCAAGGCTTAATAGAAGCTCTGAGAGCTTGTCCCTGGGTTAACTATTTAAATTAGCTGGATTACAAAACAGACGAATTCCACAATCAAACCTGTTCCCTATCTCCTCCTGTCTGCTCCTGTGCTTCTGTGTGAGAACTTTGGTGTTCTGGTTTCCAGCTCGACCGTTTGGTAGTCACATTCTTCTATCTCCATTCCATGTCTTCCATTCAAGGCTTTCTCTCTCTAATCATACTCATTCCTTCAGGTGTCTCTTCACAACTGCTTTCATATATTCTTCAGATGGAAAAGAAATACAAATCTATGTCTTAGTTATAATCTCACTTTACCTGACAGTTCAATCACGTCCACTTTGGGTCCAGTGCAATAGCCTATTGGCTAAATCCTCACCTTAGAATCACTGGGATCCCATATGGGTGCTGGTTCATGTCCGGCTGCTCCACCTCCCATTCAGCTACCTGCTTGTGGCCTGGGAAAGTAATAAAAAATGGCCCAAAGCCTTGAGACCCTGCATCTACATGGGAGACCCAGAAGAAGTTTCTGGCTTGGGATGGGCTCGGTTCCAGCCATTTCAGGCACTTAGGAAGTGAATTGGGATGGAAGATGTTTCTCTCTGTAAATTTAACTTTCCAATCAAAATAAATAAACCTTTAAAAAAAATCTACTTTGTTGTATTTTTTAAACTGTTACTATGGCATGCCTCTAAATGAAATCCTTCTTTTTGCTTTCCTCAATTCCTTTTTCATCATTTCAATTCTGGATTGTTCTGTTCAACATTATGAAAGCTAGAAACTTGATTTTGTTACATTCTCTGCTTTCTCTAAACTCTAACATCAATCTTACAAAATCAGGTTCTTCTTTCCAAGATTAGCAAACTGAATCCAACAGACATCAGAAACTGTGCAACTAATCAACTGGGCTTTGTCTCAGAGTTGCAAAGAAGGTACAATGCACACAAGTCAATAAGTGTAATAAAAAGCACCGGCAAAATGAAGAGCAAAAACCATGTTATCGTCTCAACAGACACAAAGAAATCATCAGATAGGATTCAGCATACCTTCAAGATAATTTTCAACCAATTAGGCTTAGACGCAACATACTCTAAATAAGAAATGCTCTCTTCCTCTCTGTCTTTCCTCCTCCCTGTATATCTAACTTACCAATTTAAAGAAATGACCCCGAGTGGTAACCTAGTGGTTAAAGTCTTCACCTTGCATGTTCTGGGATCCCACATGGGCTAAGGTTCTAATCCCAGTAGCTCCACTTCCCATCCAGCTCCCTGCTTGTGGCCTGCGTGGGAGACCCAGAAGAGGCTCCTGGCTTCTGGCTTCAGACTGACACGCACAGTTCCGGCTATTGAGGTCGCTTGGGGAATGAATCATTGGAGGGGTGATCTTCCTCTCTGTCTCTGCTCCTCTCCATATATCTAACTATCCAATTAAAATAATAATAATAATAATAATAATAATAATAATAATAATAATAATAATAACAAATGCTGTACACATGTCCCACACATCAGCAATATTATAATGAATGGAGAGAAGTTGAAAATATTTCCCTTAAGATGTGGAAAAAGACAAAGATGTCCATTTTCAGCAATCTTACTCAACATAGTATTGGAAGTCTTAGCAAGAGCAGTTAGAGAAGGAAAAAAAAAGAGCATTCAAAATCAGAAATGAGAAATTCAAAATATGTGTGGTTACAGATAATTTTAAGAGAAAGAGTATTGTTATAGACAAAGAGAGATATTTTATATCAATTCATCTGAAAGACAAGCCAGTCATTAAGAAAACAATCAATCCAAAATATGTTGGTGACTAATAATAGGATTTCAGACTATATGAGATTTCATGATCTCTTCCAGCTTTGATGGTGCTAGGCACCAGACAACAATACTCCCAAAAGAATGAGACTTGAACCCACTCAGTTCTTTGATAAGAGATCAGAAGGCCTCCTTCTGATGCAACCTCAATAATAATGCCTCACCCTGCCCTGCTCTCCTAACTGCTGCCCTGGTTTTCCGACTGTAACAAGCCGTTGAACCAGAATTTCTTTTTTTCCAAACAATAAAAGCTAGAAAAGTCACTCTTGCCCTTTTTTTTCCTGAAAGCCCTCCTTTCAGAAAGGTCACGCCACATATCTGCAAGGACAGAATGTTGCATAGAAAGGGGAAGAAAAATAGCAACAGACGGGCTATGCTTGCTTTCTCTACCCCGGTCTGTAGTATTACATCATACTTTTTTCTCCAGTCACATTTCTACATAGATGGTCCCTCATCAGTGTAATAATACAAATATGTATGTTTTCTTGGAACTTTAGGAATCCTCATTTTTGAAGGCTCTAATGTCATATAAAACTTAATCAAATAAATTTGCTATACTTGCTTTGCTTAATCTGTTTATTTTTTCTAATAGACTTGTTGGCCACATCTTTCATATTGAATGAGGAAAGATATCCCATCATTCCAGCCCCTGGAGTTTCCGGTCTTCTCCATGGGATATTGGGACACCTGCAAATGAGATCCTGGGACAACTGCCAAAAAACAAAGCCAAGGTAAATTTCTTTTTTTAACCAAAACCATCTTTTGTAGGTCTGTGCCTACACTTTATGGTAAATTTTGTGGGGGTGGGGGTTTATTTCTCCCTTTCTTAACTTTAATAGGAGAAAAGTATGTGAATGAACAAGTTGAAGAAGAGACTCTGTTGATTTTTTTTTTTTAATCAGGGATATGGGGAGAACAGGAATTCTCTTTTCTGATGCTTTGCATCCAAAATATGCTCTTTGTTTTGTTTGTCTCCATTTTTGTTGTTGTTTATTACAAAAAGGAGACTATAGGGCAAGAACACATATGGCTTTAGAGCCTACTATTTGAGCCAACCTCAAAGACTTGGAGTTCATGCTTCTGATCAGACCACAAAATTGGTCTGTATGGCCAACATTTGCCATGTAAAATTTGCTCAAGATCAAAACTGTATAATGTTTGTGTGCATCATCTTACTTTTATACCCTAAGAAGTTGTTTTTGTGAAGAAGTGAGAATTTTGACAGATCATATCTTGAACCCACTCTGAAAAAACTGGAAACTCAAAGGTTAAATAAGTGTCATTCTCTTTGTGGGACCATCCTAAGCTTTCAGGGTAATCTAAAGAAGTTCCATTTGCTATCTTAACTTTTGTTACCTGAGAAAGTTGAGTGCCAGAAAGGTCTGCCCAGTTGTCTGGGACTGGTAACACATCATATTTTTGTGGAAGACCGGAGACACCATCCACAAAACACTAATCTGTAGCACTCATGGCTTCAAGGATGTTTACCTACTTCCATTTGTTTCTGGGTATAATTATTTGGGATCACGGGTGTTGCATCTTTTACCACCTCTGCAGAAATTCCTTTTGATTTCATGTAAAGATTTATTCTGGGTCTGGAGAATTATCTCCTGCTTTTTTTTTTTCATGAAGAGACTTATTAGACGGGCTTACACAAGGGTAAATACATGATAGAAAAGCCTCGTTGTCAATGTCCAAACAGCCAGTTCTTTGATTTGGAAAGATTTATGTAGTTGGAAGAAAATTGAGAACTCTTACTTTAATTGTCCTGTTTGTAATTATGGAAAAATAAAACTAAAAGAGGGAAAATTTTTTAAGAAGCTTCTATAGTCAATTATCCGCTTAATTAGAATAGCAGGTTCTGGAAGCAGTCCAAGCACACACACAGAGAATGGATACACAACTTTGTTATATGTATGCAACAAAATGATACTCCGTGACATATTTGACAGTGTGGGAAAAAATATCACAATTACGATGAGAGAAAACAACTTAGTTCAAAATAATTCATTCCCAAGAATTCCACTTCTGTGAAGATTAACAACAGAGGGACTGAGTCCATAGGAATAGAAATAATACAAGTGGTTATTTGATGGAGAATCTTAATGTAAAATTATAGAAGCAACTCCTAACGTGATAGCGGTACTTGATGTCTTCATTGAAATTGTCAAGATTCATATGATCGTATGATTAAGAGTGGGGCATTTTGCCGAGGTGTTTATAACCTACTTAAGAACAGGAAAGCCGTGTTGCAAAGCAGGTGTGTTCTGGGATTACTAGGGCATAGATCAGCACAACTTATTTGAAGCCATATTACTTACTATATTTACTAGAAGTTCTAAATAACATTCATATCTTATGCCCCAGAAACTAAACTTCATAAATTTATACTAAGAAAATTAATTCCCATCTTGAAGATAGAGGAGAGCAGAGATTTTTTTGTAGAAGATTGGTTATATTCTTATCACTTACATAAAAAAATAAAATGAAAACATTTCAAGGAAAATTCAGTAAACTATAATCTTACAGATAAAACCATTGACTTGATAAAGGCCACGTAATTACCTTAGAACGTATTCATAATATTACATAAAATGGAAGCAGTGGTTTCTGGAAGGAGAACTAGATACAGTGCAATTCCTCACATTACAGAAATCAATGGCTTACAAAATGTAAAGAGTTTGAAAGAGTGGGATTCTGGTCCTTTGACTGCCATGTACACTATTTCAGTACAATTTCTGAAAATTTCTGGCTCCACGAAGGTTCTTATTTTTTAACTCTGCAAAGAAATATAATCTAACTCATTCCTTTTCTGGGGGATTGTGGTAGGTTACCAAAAAAAACAAACCAAAACAAACAAACAAAAAAAACAAATACAGGACTCCCTAATAAAGCAGCAGTTGGCAATATTGATATCCTCTTCCAAGGCAATTCACCTCTTCAAATCAGATAGTTTCAATTGTTTGCTTTAAAATACTTGAGTTGTTAGCAGTTAGATCACAAAAGTAGCTGGTGTTGAAGCACCATTATGTGATTTGTGACAAAGAGGATTTAGAGATTATTCAAAGAATTGAATGACATTAGGTAACCATGATTTCTTAGCACATATAGCCATTGTTAAACTGGGCAAAAATTGATGACATTTTTAGTTGTATTATGCTAATAATCATCATCATCAATGGATATATGAATTGATAGGAAGAGATCTATTCATATCATAAGGAATTATCACTACTGAAATTTTACTTTAATTGCATAATTGTATTCATTAAATGTTCAATAAGTTTATCATTCTTTGACTAATTATATGCTAATAAAAATGAAAATTAGGGCCCGGCGGGCACTATAGCTTAGTGGTTAAGGTCCTTGCCTTGAATGCACCAGGATCCCATATGGGCAACAGTTCTAATCCCTGCAGATCCACTTCCCAACCAGCTCCCAGCTTGTGGCCTGGGAAAGCAGTGGAGGATGGCCCAAAGCTTTGGGACCATGCACCACTTGGGAGACCCAAAAGAAGTTCCTGGCTCCTGGCTTTTGATCAGCTCAGCTCCAGCCGTTGCAGCCACTTGGGGAGTGAATCATCAGACAGAATATCTTTCCATCTGTCTCTCCTCCTCTCTGTACATCTGCCTTTCCAATAATAAATACATAAAAATAAATAAATCTTTTTTTAAAATGAGAATTAATTTAAAAATTAAAATGCAACCTATGGTAGCAGGAAAACAGTGATTTTTTAATGCATGTATACTTTTTGTAGCAAAGAAGAATTTATTCATCAATAAAGCAATAGCAAACAAGGGGATATACTATTTAGGATATATATCTGTGAAAATAGATGAAGCATCAAAGACCATCCAGGCCTGCTGAGGTCTTTGGCCACACCTTCAGGTGGGCGGCACCAGCGTTGCCCGCTCACTTACTAACTGATTAAGCGTCCACCAATGGGGAACATCTTACCTGTAAGTTCCCGCCCAGCAAGGAGGGGTCAGGGAATGCTTAAAATCCCAAGACCCTTCCTCAAACCTTTGGTGTCTCTCTCCCTCGGAGGCAGCCCACCGCCCGGCTTTCTCTTGGGAGGTGCTTTCCCTTCCTCCTCCCTTCCCTGCTCACCTGGTCCCTTTGCAAATAAACTTTTCTGTCTGCAACAGATTCCCGGCTTTTTATTTCTATACTAAGCTGAGGAAAGAACCCACCAGGCTTTTCTGGTAACACATCCATAGAAAAAAAGTGAAATAAGAATATGATCTTATGGATAAAAATTATAAAAGGTATAAAACTTAAGTATATTCAATGTGATATTTTCCCAATGGATAATATTAGATGTCAAGTGACTATTTTATTGAATTTAATACTAATCATAATAATTTTATTTTACATTGTTAATATTTACAAAGTGCCATAAAATAAGTCTTTAGAAACTATTTAAAATTGTAACAAAAATTTCTGTGTCAACTTTAAAATTTGTCAGTAGTTACAGAATTATTGAAAATTTGAACAATAAAATAAAAAATAGTTTTTATTCAGCAGATATATGAGTTAAGATTTGCTTTATAAATTTCTAAAAAAAAGATCTCGGTTCATAAAAACTGCTGGAAGTGTTAGTCCAAATGAAGGATTTGCTAGGTAGTTGTTTACAAATTAGAATGTTTTGGCACCTGACACACTTTTCTTTTTGCAAGGCATGTTCAATCAAAAAAATGATCTGGGCCTTAGAAAAATGTCGATTTTTGTCTTGTCCCTACGTTGGCTTCTTTTAGAAAGCCCTGGCACTCTTCACCTTTTACAAACAGAGACTCACATCACACAACCATAAGTAGTAATGCAGATCAGAACTAGGTGTAAGTTGCTTTTGCTTTTCTTCTTTGTGAGTGAAACACTTAGTGGATTAGAAAAAGTGAGGAGAGTGAGATTAGTCAGTGAATGAAAGCAGCTTCTTATTTAGTAGCAGCTCCAGGCTTACATTTGAGGAGTAAATATCTTTGCATTAGAGGAAGAAAAACTGGGCAGATCAGATAGGACCTTAAAATACATTAAGAGGACAATGGTTCTATGCGGCAAATCTAGAGTAGAAGCAGAAACACAAATTCTTAGGGTTAATTGGAAATAACATGTGCAAGGGAGAAAAGAAAAATGAATAGCAAACATTTAAAGGGTACTATAGTTCACATCTTTACCATAATATGAAGGACAAAGCACTTGTTCTCCAAATTATTATTATTTCAAATGTTTAAATAATAGAAAACAAACCAGAAACTTTTATTTTCCCTCTCCATTTCATTATAAAGTAAAAATATTAGACTTTTATTTTACATTATTAGTGAAGGGAAATAGAAATAAGTTGTATTGAAATGAAATAAAGCAAGTCCTATATTGCAGTCTTGAAATGTTGTTCCATATATTTTCAACCTGAAATGTTAAGCATGCTAAAACGACTAGTCTTTTTTTAAACATAAAGACTGGAGAAAGTTGCTTATTTGTACAAGTAGAAAACAAGGAATTGTTTTATAAAAACAAACCAACAACAACTACTGGATATATGAAATTAATGAGGAAATCTTCACTCTGTCTATGGGAATTTTACGCCATAAATTGAGCTCATCCCCATCTTCCTCCCTTCAGATGCAGAACTGCATTTTAGAGACATAGAGGAGCATGTTACTGACAAAATCATCCGCATTCACGCAAAACATTGTTTTCATCCCTCACTCCCTTGATCTTTTCATTATTGATA